GAAGTCTTCGGAACTATGACTGCGTGGACATCAGTAGCTAACTAGTCAATACAAGCCTGTGTATAGCATTAATGGGCTCAACAACTTTATACTGTCCTGAGAGTTAATGGACATCCGTGAACATCAGTTTGCAGCACCAGATCTCTAAGCATTATATCACTGACTGTGATTTTTTGTGACACCTGCCTACAGGACCACGCCAGTCCCAAGTGTCTACTGAAGAGAAAACATTGGTACTCACTAGGTTATTTCCATTACGATTAACGAGGCTAACTTGTTGATAATGACAGTCGGGTAATGCTTGCATTTGCATAACAGCAATATATTTCCAAGACACTCATTAATTTCTTGACACCTCTGTCTGTTCCTTAAGCTCTGACATAAAAACTCATGGAATTTGGCGGCCGAATCCACGGATAAATTATTTTTAATGCTCCACGAAAGTAGGCGTGGTAAGTATTGAAGTTGAGCGTTAAAACTTCCCAGTAGGTGAATTTTTTTGGACCTGAGATATGTGGGTAAAAACGTGGGCAGTTTTCCGTTCGAAATTAGGTAAAATGGGAAAAAGTGGAACAATAAAATTTTTCGGGACATGGGCAAACGGGGAAAAAGTGGCCAGTATGGGTAAAGTGGGTTAATTATATAGCATTTTAACCCTCTTTCGCCCACGTCTTTGCCGATTAAAATTACGCACTTAGCCCACGTTTTGCCCACATTTCCCAGGTTCATTCTCTGACTGGATTTAGAAAAACATACAGTACACACATAACTAATATTTGAAGCTGCCAAAACCGTAAATTCAAATACAATATCAGACTGACCAATCATAAACAACGCTGAGATTAGTTCAACTCAGTGGAAACAGATTGTGGTTCTCAAGAGTGAAATGTTCTTACAGTTTATGTTCATTCTACAAAGCTAAAGGGGAGGCTGTACACGTGTGACATATTAAACAGGTATACACTGGTGCACACCTCAATGGTAATTCTTATGATCGAACCCCGAATGTGAACCCTAGACGAGATTGTACTTGCCTGTGTATACGAAAATATCAGTCGACCTTGGGAACCGTGAGTGTCTTGATCCATGGCCTTGACTTCTTTCCTATACAACCCTATAGTATCTTACTGTCACCCATAACATTCTTCAGCTCATTGAATGACGTATGTAGATAAATTGAATTTGGAGACTAGAGTATGTTTTGAAGTTGAAATGAATGGCAACAACATTATTTACTTCTGTCAGTAGACATGAACAAGATGAATTTCTTCAAGCTCTGACGCCTTAACTGTTGATTATTTTCAAATGCGGACTCCAGTAAACAAGTGATAAGCAGTCTCACTAATAACGACTTTTGTACATTTCTGATCCAGGCTTCTTAGAATGTGATCAGATATGCTGTTACAAATCCTTCTTTTTGTTTGTCAGATGTATATGGTTTTCGACGTACATGGAAATTGGTTTATGCAGTTGCAGGTGAAAGGTGAACTTGGCAACCTTAGATTGTGTCAGTGAGCATTTTATTTGGCAAACTGTGACTAACCTTGCAGCTGGATATGTTTGCTTGAGAGCAGTATTCATTTTATATTTATTTCTTCCATATACATCATAATCTTGGAATTCAAGATTACGGAAAACTGGTTTCTTCTCAACTGTATGAAATGTTGCTCTTATGTTTCGTATTTTCTTGTGTTCGTCAATAAGGTTTTTGATAATGTAAATGTAGAACTTGGGCACTGCGTAGAACGTAATCCTACATTAGATAAGTTTATTTGATTTAACACACAGTGGTGCAATATTAGTAGTTTTCTTGAAGATATCTATGGTTCTGTAAACATTTTTCAACAATGGCAAGTTCCTCATTTTTTAAAATTCCTTCACTTTCCCAGTAGAACAAAGGGATTAAAGCTATAGGCCTGAATTTTCAGTAGCTGTGGTGATTATTTTTACAGGATGAGGTTGCTAGCCTCATGCCCAACCTTCCCTCTTTACCAGTCTCATTACTGGCTTAGCGAGGTAAAGGAGTGAGTCAGTCGGGAATCGAACCCCGGACAACCTGCATGGTTGGCGAGCACTCCACCGCTGTGCCACTGACGCACCAAAGTTCATCACAATGATATTTTATTGTTTATCGTTGTATGCAGCTAACAAGAACCAACGAAATATAGTGACGTCTTTTTATCCTGCTCGATGTGTTACTGTTTTGTTCATGTTTACCAAAAGAAATAATTGAGAGGAGTTAGTTTATTATTCTCTCAGGCCAATCTCCTAAAGGAGAATTCACACAACTTACACATAACAACATATATTCAGTCAACTATACCCTTCATAATTACGAATATAGCCACAGTCGTGAATACCACCTAACTCTGGTGTGTTCATCCTGAGGAAGCCTTATGTGAAAGCGTTTCCAGAGCATAGATGTAGGAAGTTTTACTTCCGTGTCATTGTGTTGTTACAGAACATCTAGGAAGCATCCCATGAGTTTACTTTACGCTGTAACTGATACTCAGCTTTATCCGTTTCTATTGATTCTAGTTGAGATGTCAAGATAGTTGTGGCACAGGTCCATATGGAAGCACCAGTCAATACACATTCAGACTATATGTGTAACCAGAGGTGGTAGTTATAATTCTTAAAGTAGAAAGTTTACTAAATTACTAGTGGATGGTTCTAGATACAAGTGCAACTTAAAATTTTTTCTGAGAAGTGCTAAAATCCGAATTCCGTAAAACCAACTCCAATGAATTTGATTTGAATATGCTAAATTTCCTGGTTTTAGGGCGTTATTAAGAAAATCTACCTGACATATGTAATACATAACCAATCGTCACAAGCTTGTTGCAGTATACTGTGTTATGATGCACTATAGTCTTTTAGACATATCCGAAATTTAAGTTGTGTCTTAATATATACATGACTTACAAATAATTTCAGTTTTGGTTCTTTATTTGCATGATACTTAAATTCCCTCCAGAATTAGCATTTGAATGGAGTTTATTTCTAGTTTCATAGTCAGATTTTGAAAGATCATTAGATCCTCCTGGAACACGCTGGAGAAGAATGACCACTTCGTCTAAAGCTTTATATACAGTTGTTACTAAAAAATATTTTCATTTAAAAGGAAATGAATTTAACAGAGTTACCTCTTTCATTTTTATGACAAAGTGAAGGATTGCGACTGTTCAGATCTAAACTGAACTCTCAAGTAATGTTATTAATTAGTTTGTGAACATTGTTACAATATCTCAAATTTCAGTTGAAACAAGTTTCGTTATATCAGATTTGCAGTTTATATAGTTCGAGAAAGTGGAGTTTAACCACACCACCACAACTTCGAAAAAGCCTTCGAAAGTATAGACCGAGAAGTAGTTTGGAAACTACTTCAACACTATAGCGTACCGCAATTCTTTGTCAACCACACTAAACAGCTGGCTATGCGTTTCTAGTGATCCACAATATAAAACTCAACGAGGCGTTCGAAGTGAATATAGGAATAAGACAAGTTGGCTGCCTACTGTCACCGATGGATTTCGCAGATAATATATGTCTATATCACACAAGCTCGAACACTTGCAAGCGAAAACCAACAAACTTACTGGAGAGGCTGATAGCGAAGACATGACTGCAGGTAAACACACGGAAGATGGAGGTGATGAAGATAACCAATCAACAGCAATAACAACCAGCATCCATCAAAATCAATGGGAGAGATTTAACAGAGGTCACCTCCTTCAGTTATCTAGGAAGTATCGTTTCAAATACAGACGGACAGCACGGATAAAGATGTCAACACCAGCCAGAATAGGAAAGGCGAGATACGCCTTCAACAACCTGAAACCAGTTTGCAAATCTTCTGCACTCAGCCAGCATAAGGAACAAGATTTTCATTTTCAACACCAATGTCAAGTCGGTCCTTCTATACGGGTCAGAAACTTGCACTGTGTGTCACGAAAAGGATTTCCAACAGGTTGCAGACTTTCATCAACAACTACCTTCGCTAGCTTCATACTGAATATCGAATGGCCAGAAAGAATAAGCAACAAGAAACTATGGGAACAAACCAACGGGCAATAGCCGATCGCTCAACAAATATGTAGGAGAAAGTGGAGATAGATCAAGCATACATTGAGGAAGCCGCCGAATGACATCGCACACCAGGCCCTCAATTAGAATCCCGTTGATAACTGACTAGTGGGTCGTCGGTGCGAGGGTGACATGGAGGAGATCGTGTGAGGAAGAGGTGAGAGAGTTCGGTCAATCTTGGGCCCAGCTGAAGAGGACGGCAGAAAACCGAACAAAGTGGAGATGTGTTGTTGAAGCCCTATGTTCCACTCAGAACCCTGACCACACCATCCTTTGGAAAGCGAATTTATTCAAATCACAAACCATAATCTATTTGATATCATATAAATGGTAATCATCAAAGAAGCAGGCATAAATGCACAAAACTATATACTACTGATAAACTGAGGTGAGTAGTTGTATACCACTCACATCAACCATTGGTGTTTGCTAGCCAAATCGAAGTGATCTAAACACCAAACAGCAGTTTCGGTGGTCTGGATAGCAAACGCCACCACTCGTTAATGTAAGTGGTACACAGCTACTCACCTCATTCTATCAGTAGTATATAGTTTATGCAACTTTACTCGCTTTCTTGATCACCATTTATGGTACCAAGCAGATCACATATAGGGATCTTAATAATATCGAATTCCAAAGAAAGTTGTGGTCAGATTTCTCCTTATCGAACTGTATAAATTGGAAATGACCTGGTAAATATTGACTTTGATTTAAGGATATATGATGAAAAGTAATGCATTTTTTGTTGCATCACGAATTTGAAGCAGCGCCATCTTGTTTGTTTTGTATTTAAACAACAACAATAACAATAACAAAACAAGAGACCCACTTGTTTATTGATTTTTTTATGTTCAATAATTTATGAAATAAAAATAGAATCTTTTCTTTCCTTCTGCTTAATACAATTTACAGAGTGATAAGGATAAACACGTACACATACATACACACATAAGGGAGACATTTTTCTGTGGCATACAGCAACAACGACAACAAACAACAGTAACAACAATGTAAAAATGAATTAAGCGCGCAGTTAGAAAAAAAAGAAACACAGAAGTTTGAAACACAAAAATATTTCATTAAAACCTATTAAGAATATACGGTGAACAGAAAAATCTGTGTTCAGTTGATAAGAAAACAATAGGAAATACATCATAGATATCACATACATGTACACATGTATATATATATACCGTGTTGTGTGTGTGTATGTGTTCAATTATCAGGTGTCTTATGAAGAGATGTTTGTGAACAGTTAACATGCTCAATGTTATCAATATGTTCATGTTTTTTAGTTTGATTTTCTGAATCTGTATTTGCTTGATTTATTATTTTATTATTTAATTTGTTATGACATATTGTTTCTTCTACTTTACTCTCTACTTGAATCTTATTTTCCTGTTCTTTTGATTCTTGATCAACAGATTCAACGAAAGTATTATCCTCACCATCTTGTTGCTGTTGGGGTTGGGGTTGCTGCAGCTGTTGGTGTTGCTGTTGATCAACACCTAATTCATTCGATGTTATCTGATGACTGGTATCTTTCATGTCTTCACTGACTCTAATTAAAACCGATGGTTGTACAGTGGAATTCAGATAATTTATGCGTACAGCTGTATATTCAGCACCCAAAGTTTGTGTTGTCATTTGATTCGAATGATATCTTGGCTTTAAAAAGAAACACGGTACAATACGATGAAATTCTTTACGAAAATTATTATTCATCCATGCATACAGGAATGGATTATATACAGCACTACTCATTGCCAGCAGATGACAAACAAAAAAGATTAAACTGAAATTTTTAGAACTTTGTACATCATTCATATGTTCTTCACTGTGTACATCCATCACCATCCATAAGATATTCAATGGTATCCAACAGATGACAAATATCACAACCATTGCTATCAACATTGTATTTGTCCGACGTTTACGTTTAATCTCTCTTTCCTCTTTCATTTGTGTTTTTGTCCCACTACCAATTTGTGTATGCAATCGGGAGCGTAGCAGTAAGCTGATACGAAAATAACACACTGAGATAATACTGCATGGTACAACAAATTGTAATACAAAACTAACAATTGTAAATACTTCACGTGATGATTCTTTAGGCCAATTCTCTCGACAACTTGATACATTATTCATTGGATCTTTATGCTTTTGTTGGTAAACAGCTAATGGCATTGAAATGAGTACAGCTATTATCCATACAGTGAATATAATAATAAAGCATAACCATATTTTCATTCTTGGTAGAAATGGATGAACAATAACAAAGAATCGATCCAATGCTATTGCCATTGATGTCAACGTCGACACGTAGACTGATACACCCATTGTAGTAGGTAGAAGTTTGCAAACAGCCTCAGGTAGTGTCCAATTGCTCATGTATAGGGAGAGAGGAGTGAATGGTGTAGCCACAAGACTCATTAAGATGTCTGAAACAGCTAAATTTGCAATAAATATATTTGTAATAGTTTGTAATGGTTTGACACGTAGTACAATCCAGACAACTAGTAGATTACCTGTGACTCCCATCAATGTGATACAGGAATATAAGGCGATAATCAATAATTTGACTGGAAGTATTTCTTTGGCTACATCATATGTGGAATTTGTGTGTTGATAAGCATATGATTGTCTAGGTTCTTGTTGTATTATTTCTCTTTCCTCATATAGATTAACAAATGCCTTACAGTATTCAAATGATTGTAGAATTATTAGTGTACATGTAAGGTAACTCATTAGTTGAATTACTTGATTGTCACCTTTATCTGAAATTAACAAGTAAAAAACAAAAAACGGAGACAAAATTAAAGAAATTTTACTCTTCTCTTATTATCACTTATCTCTGTTACCAATAATGAGTCATATCTCAATAGGCCCTGTTTGCCTTACAATGTATGGTCAGCTAGAAACAGACAGAGAATATGTCCCCCCTAAGACCTATACTTCCTATGATCAACTCACTTCAGTACGAAGTTGTTCGTTGACTTGCAGAGAAGTTAGAACCCATTTCTCAATGGCTAGTTGTGTGCTCCCAGAAAGCTTGAACCACATGAACACTTCCAATAAGTTTGTAGTGTCAGTTAATGTAACCTCACTGTTCACAAGGATCCTGATCAATGGGACTATTGATATCATTTTTCAGCATTCATGTCTTCTCCCATTCCCAGTTGTGGAATTTAAACGCCAAATGAAAATATGTACCATAGGTGTACAATCCCAGTTTGACAACGCTGTTTATTATCAAACAGATGATGTAGCTATGAGAATTCCACTTAGCCCTGTTTTAGTAGGCGTTTTCATATTTGTGCGTCGGTGGCGCAGCGGTTAGGACTCTCGCCGACCATGCACATGGTCCGGGGTCCGACCCCCTGCCGACACACACCTGATATCAATGGTCGGCCTGCAAAATTTGGGCTACCGATATCACATGCTGAAAATTCCATACTTGTATCAAAAATACTGTGTGGTTTCAAGCTATAATCAAAATCAAATCGAAATCAAAGAACAAAGATGAGGCCTGGAAACAATGAAACAACTTCTTATTGTCAGTATGTCCACAACACATTTGTAGTATGGGACAATGAAAGTCATCCATCCTACCTACTCGGATTATTCAACTAGGCCTGTGTAAATATTAAATTCACAATGGAACATGAAAGTGATGAGAAGTTTTATTTACTTGAAGTTGTCATTCAACGCCTGGAAGATGATAGTCTCTAGAGATTGATTCTCCGAAAAGCCACATGGAACGGACAATACTTACGTTTTAATAGTTTCTACCCAAAAAGCCGTAAACGAACACCGATCAGAACTCTTTTTTATACAGTCAGGAGAATATATTCTACAGAAAAACTATGGGAAGAATTTCCTATTCTCGAAAAGATGTTGATAAACAACGGTTACCCTCAGAAATTCACTAATAAGTACGACAGACGGGAAGGTTTAAATGTCGAACAAATCATGGTGGAAAAGAAGCCTGTCTTCATTTATTTCGACTTTAACAAGATAACATTGCAGGAATAGACAACAGAAGATTGAATACCTCTCCAAGCGGAACCTATCCTCCAGCTAAGTCGGTTGCCATTTATCGGAAAACATGCTCTTTGGTACAATTAAAGGTAGACATAAACCCTTCCCATGTTGCCTCTAACTGTATATAAAAATTTCCATGTATCTTCTACAGGAGCATCTTTATTGGGAGAACAAGGAGAAAGACCCACTTTAATTTTCTGCACAAGTATCGAAAGCCTATGTCTCAGGGGGACAAACATTTACAACAGTGCCATTGCAGGACATTTCATCAATACGGATCATGAGGCGGACATCGAAAAATCCTTTAGAATTTTCAGTCGACAAAACAGTTAAATGCTGCTCAAGTACGCCAGAGCAATAGCTATCAAACGCCTGAAGACCGATTTATGTTTTCAGAAAAAAGTGATTATCAATCTTTCCTGGCCCTGGTAACTAGATGTCTTTACTCTACCTTTCATTTGGTTACGTAACCTTTGGCTTTAGCACCTCCCCAATTTGCAGTTTGTTAGTTTGCTTGTCTGTTGTTTCTGTGATTTGAGTTGAACTCACCACATTGTAACTCAGTTTGTCAGTTACTCATCACGTTGTCCACCCCTTGCTTTTATTACTTTAATCTTCTGCCACTGTATCTAAGCCTTTATTTCTGTTAAGACTTGAACTCTCTAGGTTAAAAGCTATATAAGTGTAATTTCTAAACACTTGCTGACGAGTGCCAACTAGCACGAAACCTAGGTCCAAGGCTTCTTGCCGATTGCCTCCAACCATCTAATATCATCGAATCAATTTGCACCGTGATGGCGAGCTGCCTAAAATGGTGGTCACATTACAAACCTGACTGATAGAATTCAGTCCACATCAAAGAAAGGACTAGACACATCACACTAGTTACTAGTGTCCAGTCAAAATTTCTAAACACTGTTCGTTGAGTTCGGAGTCAAATGGCATCATACAACATTTACAAGTATTTTAGAATTGTTTTGTATATAAACTTAATAATTTCTTCAGACTCTACGCAGCTGAAGAGACAACCAACGAAATACATGATGATACTGTCTTATTCTGTACAATCCACTATTTTTGCTTTGTTCAAATAGATAAGGAACCAGTTCAGTATGAATATTTGTGTTAGTAAACAAGGAAAAAAGAGGCATTTGTGGATGAAAATGATGTCCGTGAGAACAAAAACGACTTGTACAATGTTATTGGATGACAGTTTTCATAAATCAGATACAAGTCAGAATATAGACTTTTGATATTTGTATTAGCTTTCCGAACTCAACTAAGGCATATTACTTGAAATATACAGAAATCATTTGTCTACTAATTATTTTGCTTCATCTGTTCATAAAATGTCACAAGATTGATAACCTGAAATGATTCCCAGAAATTATGTCTGCATTTTTTAAATACTTATTGAGAAAATAGGCTGCTGGGTACATTTCCATGTTACAGAAATCTGATTAGTGTTATAAAAAAATATATATATATTTAAATGATAAAATTAGTAGGATTGATTTATTAATAAATTTTAGAGATGAGGTTATTTTATCTGACACTGGAATAGCGAATTCAAATAAAATTTACACTACGAAAAATTCTGTTCGATTGTTGACAAGTCTAATGCTTACATTTAATCACAATTTAGAGTAAAACATGAAATATGATATCAGATATTTTAAACATTATTAAAACATCTATAAAACATAAAAAATGATTGTGCAAAGAATATCCTTTTCGATAAATTCCTCTTCTAACTGTACAATTATATAAAAATATATGTTTATATACATAGAATATTCTAGATTAGTAGTCAGTAACAATATTAATGTTTTTTTAAATAATATCGATTTGTAAAGTAAGATCACAATGGAATCACCACAGTTCATTGAAGATGCTTAAATTATTATAACAATAATAATAGTAATAATAATAAAGATATAGTAGCAAATTGAATATCAACTAAAATTAGGAGAATTCCACAAAAATTGTAGATCATTCAAACCTAGATGGCCAAGATAAGGATAATGTCTGAACTAACTTCTTTTGGATGCATAAATAAGGCTTGTTAATATGAATCTCAATGGCCTAAGCAATATTTAGTAAACGAAGTCTTAAGGTGAAGGTAAGATTTGTTGGTACGCGGTAAATGACTCTGAAAGCATGGTTAACGTCAATCTTGTGTTCTGTATCCACAAGATGAGATAGAATAGCGCTACGAATAGATTTTGTTTGTCCTTTGCTTAACCAGGTAGGGTGATGTTTGGAAATTCGACGAGAAACACGCCTAATCGTACGGCATATGTAACTGTCTCCACAGGAGTAGTTAAATTGGTAGATACACATCTTGTGGATACAGAACACAAGATTGATATTAATCAGGCTTTCAAAGTCATTTACCACATACCAACAAATCTCAATTTCGCCTTAAGAGTTAGACTACTAAATATTGCTGAGGCCATTGGGATCCATATTAAGAAGAAGTTAGTTCAAACATTATCCTTACCTTGGCCATCTGAGTTTGAATGGTCCTGAATGTTTGTGGAATATTCCTAATTTCAGTTGATATTCTATTTGCTACTATATCTTTATCATTATTATTATAATTTAAGCATCTTTAATGAACTGTAGTTCCACTGATCATACTTTACAAATCGATATTATTTAAGAAATAGCAATGTTGTTATTGACTACTATTCTAGAATATTCTCTGTATATAAACATATATATAATTGTAGAGCCAAAAGAGGAAAGTATTGAATAGGATATTCTTTGCTCAATTATTTTGGGTTTTAAACATTATCGATATTAAAATCATTTATTTATTTTACTCATTTGCATCCTCAGTAAAACATAGGGCTTCATGCTTTGAGCTTTGAATTTGCAGTAGTGGTGTTGTTCTTCTTTCTAAGGAGTGTGGTTACTAGCCTCATGCTCAACCTTTCCACTGTACCCATACTAGTGTCTAAGCGAGATTCTGAAGTGAGTCAGTCGGAGATCGAACTGCAAACGAATTGCATGGTTGGCATGTATTCTACCGTTGAAACACCGTGCACGATATTCAAATTAGTACATGCTAAGTGGTAATATCAACTAGCTAGCTAACATTTAGATATTATGGAGAGGATTTGTAGCTCAGGTGGATGATTTTGATGTAGTTATGTTCTCTGAGCTGGATGGTTTATTTGCGAACCTTTCATTGCCCTACTAGGCAACATCTTCAGCGTATACTTCAATTTGAAGTGAGCTTTCCGATTTCTCCACGAGTTTATTAGTGACCTTGAATGTGAATGGTTGTTTTTGTGTGTTTTCACACCTTCTAGGCTACTAGTATTGGCATTGGTGTTGGTTGTTACCTTGACCTGAAATTTTACCCTTTGTATGAGATTTCCTTCTTGTGGATTGGTGAATTTTGTCTATGTTAAGGAAACAATCAACACCAATACCAATACAAGTAGCCAAAGAGGTGTGAACACATACAAAAATAACCAATCACTTTCAGCGCCATCAGGAGAGATGAGGAATAAACTCGTGGATAAATCTAAAAAGCTAACTTCAAATAGAGGTATGCGTTGAAGATGTTGCCTAATAGGGCAATGAACGCTTCGCAAATAAACCATCCAGCTCAGAGAACATAACTACATCAAAACAGTTAACTAACGTCTACATACTTAGCTCTGTAATTAGAAAACTGCATAGATGTTGACAAATGTAAGTTACCACAGTAACACTGAAA